AGACAGGACAGGAGAAGCTGGAACATTCTTGCCTTTTCTGCTCCAGGAAGCCTGAGAAGATGTGCCAAGCCCTATGGTTAGCAAGAGAAGTAACAAGGGGCATTGAACAGTGAAAAGACTGTTAGGTGGAAGCTAACTCTGGCAGGAGGTGCCGTGGAATCTCACAGCCCCTGGAAGGGGGCCTCCCCAAATGTCACCTACTAAGATGGGCAGACAACGGGACACCTTCAGCTGAACTTCTCTTCAGGGAGAGGGAGGGGAGCTGGGAACTCCAGGTCCTTTCTTTCAATATCTTACCCTGGCCCACAATCTTCTATTGTCTGTATTTTCATCTCTAACCACACCCCACTTGGATTTTGCTCCCTGGCAGCAAAAGGCATTAGTTATATTTCAGCATTATCTTTAATATTATTTTTCAAATTAGCTGAATTGATAAAGCACCGAACCAAATCAAATTAGCAACTTTTTTCATGAGTATGCTCCCATCGCTAATAGTTACAAGGTTTTAAACTCTTACCCATTAATCCCCAGAGAAATTGTAGTAGGTGGGGAGGAGGACGTTGGGGTCTCTGTTTAGAAAAGGTGTGTTGCATTGTACCTTATTTCTAACTCTCAGCGGTTTTCACATGACCGTGACTCACAGACGTGATGAGGAAATTATGTTAATTAACAAGGTTAAAATTCCAGACTCTGCTCCTAGTGTGATTCATGCTGTATATTACTTGGGGGGAAAAAGGCTAAAAACCAGTATTTTTACACTGCATTGTAATTGTATTTTTGACAGAAGTCTAACACACCAATACCAGAAAGCAGATGCCCCAAATGTGTTCAGAGAGCCAGCCATGTTTTTGAGGATTTAAAAACACTTCGTATTTGAGGACGCTATAAATAAGGGGCTGAGAGGTAGGTCAGTCATGAAAGTTCCATAACGATCCAGGGGAGAAAAATTATTTAGAAGTGCCAATATTGGGAACATGCTGCAGGTTTTAAACAGAAAATTAGTGAATCACAATCACCAACCAGAGGGGCCAATGGTGGGTTCTTGGAAGTGGAATTAGGGACAAATTCCCCCAGGGTTGAACTTAGCAGAGACTGGCATTAGCCAGGGGTCTAGGCTGCCTGCTCCATCTTGAGGCTGCCCCAACTCCAGCCTTCCTCCCCATCTCCCAGTCCTCAGCTCCCACCACTAGTCCTCTTGCCCCACGTCTAGTTGATTATGAGAGGTGTGTGGGAAAATTTCACCTTCCTGTTCATACCCAGGAGTGGATGAACAGATCCAGGGATTAGGTGTTTGTTGGCCTCTGTCTTGAATCCTGGCTCCTAACCTCAAACCAAACAAGGCCACAAACCAAATCCAGCCCAGAGCATTGGCCCAGCCATCCATCCACCACCACAGGCCACATCTTCGCTAGTTGTGGGAAGTCCTTTCCCAGATTCTCGCTTAAGATTCCGTTCAGGGAGCCCCAATGAGCTGGGTGCGATGCAGTGACACTTCGCGGAGGCTGGCTTCCACACACTGCAGATAAACAGACCCCTCTCTCTCTCTTTCACCTTGGAGACCCTTTGCCTCTCCATACTCTTCCCCCGCTTCCTCCCTGTCTATCAAGCCCAGGCCTTGAAACCTCACAGTTTTCCCTTTACACTCCACACCTTATTAATACCACTTTATCGTTGGCAGGTATGAGGCAGAAGCTTCCTCTCCTAAGGGGTGGTGGAGGGAGACAGCCCTCTTTGGCCGATAGCCAGCATCTGGCCACACGCAGATGGCCCCACTTAGACCTGGCTGTGGAAGTTACCCCAGGTCTTCTCAGAACCTATGGTTTTATGCATGATTCCTATTTTCTGGAACTGTCTGGCTCTCTCACAACTCCATGCATCTGTCCCTCCCTACTTAGCACATAGAAATACAAATGTTTGTACTTTGTAGACAGACATATGTTTAATAAAGAACTCGAACTCCTAAAAAAAAAAAAAAAAAGAATTCCGCCGAACTGAACTCTGGTAGAGAGCTGGAAATGGGCACGCAGTGCCTCCTGCAACTGGTGCTGCCTGTCCTCTGCGCTTTGGGGAGGAGAGCGTGCCTCAGTTCCACCCTGGGAGACCCCAGCTTCCCAGGGTCTGCAGGCACAAAATGGAATTCCTTCCATGGGGAACTCTCGCAGGCCTTGCACCTTTCTTCCCTTCTGCCTCTTAGGCTACCGCCGCCGCCACCGCCACTTGCTCCCTTCCCCAAGCTCACTTCGCTGCTTGGGGACCGGAGGCTAAAAAGCTCAGCTGGAAAGCTACAGTGGGGCGGTGCCAGCGCGGAGACCCGCTCCGCGAGCGCAGGGTCCTGGGTGAACTGGGAGGGAAGGAGCGGCCGGCCTCGGTTCTTAGAACGCCCCCGCTGCGCTCGGGGTGCAGTGGGGAGCCGGAGACCCACCAGCGCGCCTGGCTAGCGAGTTGGCGGCTGCTTCAGTTAACGTTGCATGGTCAAGGTGTGGAAACTGGTACCTGCTGCTAAAAGAGACATCGCCATATTCTTCCCATTTGTTTTCTTTTTTGTGTAAAGCTTTTATTTTTAAACAGCCCATTACATATGAAAATTAATTTCGGTCATTGCTGGGATTGAGAGGAAGTAATTTGAAGGGCATAATGTGTTTGAAGATATGTGGCCCTTAATATATATCCCCTTACTTTATTAAAATTTCCTGACACTTGAATACAGTACTAATGATCTGCACATATTATATGGAACTGTACCATATTGAAAAATAACACACAAATTGCACAAAAATTCTTAAAAACATAATTTTTTTTCTAGTAGCTTTACAGTTTCGGATCTTACATTTAAGTCTTTATTTTTGAGTTGACTTTTGTATATAGTGTGAGATAAGGGCCTAGTACTATTCAGTTTTCCAACATCATTTATTGAAGAGGCTGCCATTGTGCAACATGGGGACTATAGTTAATAATAAAGTATTGTGTACTTGAAAATTGCTGAGAGTGAATTTTAAGTATTTTCAACACAAATTAATAAGTATGTGGGGTAATGCATATGCTAATTAGCTTGATTTACCCATTTCACAATATATGCATATTTCAAAACATTATGTGGTGTACCATAAATCTATACAGTTTTAATTTGTAAATTAAATTAGAAACAAAAAAATGTATAACAAAGAAACAAAAATGGGAGATTATGTGATTGAAGCCCTTTGCAAAGCAGAAATGTTTCTAAAACTCTCCCAGAATTACTATGTGGTTTGTTTAGCACCCAAAGCGTGTGTTTTAATGCGCTCAGCCGCTCCCGGGCCTTGAGAATCAAGCCTGTAATCAAGATCACTGAGCGACTGGCGTCTTCATAGGAAGCAATTGACAGAAGACTCAGGATGAATGGAAGATGGACTCTCCCTGCCTTTCCACACCGAAAATATACTTCAGAGGATTATTTCTGACAACATGAAAATTTCTTATAATTGTAAGGGGGACGTTTTTTGTAGAGCTGAGCACCAAAACAACACAGATTTATGCCTAAACTATATCAATTCTATTAAAATGAACACAATAATTTCAGGTGCTAACATGAATTACTACATACCATGGCTGCTGACTGGGCTTCTTCAGATCTCTCCTGGTTATTCCTGTTTAAAGACTATGCTCACAAAAATGTGTACGGATGACAGAACATGTAATACTAAAAACAGAAAAATAAGACTGAAAGAATCCAAATGATGTGCCCCAGGGTATTCTGAGAGGAAAACTTAAGGTCAACAGAAGCCGATGTGACAGCTATGAGGATGACCCCTAAGGACTCTTTTTTGTAGTGTTAGTGGGGAGGAAAGCCTAAAAAATCGAAATCAGACCTTGTATCAGCAAAGAAATGCTTCATAAGTTGGAGGAGAGATATAAATTAAACTCTAGTTGACTTCTCTATACAAGAACAGGAATATCTCAAGATAGACTCTATCATCAGGTTCTAGATGTTCTATTCTGGGTTGGGGGCTACAGGAGTTTCAAGGTGAGTCCAGGCTCCACAGAGAACTTTCTCTATAACTTTGATCTAATTCCCTCTGGATGCCTTGGATTTCCCTCTCGGAAATTAAAGAAGAGAGCAAAAGATTCCCTGGGCCTGTCTACATCCACCACTCTATCATTCTACAAGTATGCACCAGAGCAAGGGAAGTCTGTCCTAGAAGCCTCACAAGATAACTAGGAGAGTAAATGGTAAACAGGAGCCAGGCCCTGAAAAAAATCAAGAGGTACCAAGTTTTGAGAAGGCCTGTATTTAAGGCATGAAATAAATTCAGCCTGAGTCACAAAGAAGAGTTTTGAAAAAGATAATAAGGAAATAGCTAGGTGCAATGGTTCACACCTGTAATCCCAGCACTTGGGGAGGCTGAGGTGGTCAGATCACCTGAGGTCAGGGGTTCAAGACCATCCTAGCCAGCATGGTGAAACCCCCTCTCTACTAAAAATACAAAAACTAGCCAGGCGTGGTGATGTGCCTGTAATCCCAGCTACTCAGGAGACTGAGGCGGGAGAATGGCTTGAACCCAGGAGGCGGAGGTTGCAGTGAGCAGAGATCCTGCCACTGCACTGCCTGGAGCAAGACTCCGTCTCAAAAACAAACAAACAAACAAACAAAACAACAACAACAACAAACAGAGAGAGAGAGAGAATAAGGAAACCATGCTTATATCTTATCCACTCAACACGAGGTTAAGTGCCTCCTCACCTGACCAGGATCATTGAGTTGGATAAAGGCAGATGGATTCCCTGCTTTCACCTTTCTTAGCCTGGAGAAATGGAGAAACAGAAGTACAAATGGGAAGCAGATTCAACAAAGTGCAAGCAACGTGGATCTCACTGGGTGGCAAAGTCACGGGAGATATTTATGGATTTCTGATTAGTTCACCGTGTTTTCTACATTTTTACAACAAGCATGTATTGTTTTTATTTTATATACACACACACACACATAACCACACACATGCACATATACATATATATATATATTTCCCTTGGACCATAAAATTTTATTGGCAGATCAGGGGAAGAGCAGGGGATAAGGGTACCTTCGTTCCCATCCTCCCACCCAGGAGGCACCCTCCGAAGGACAGCAGAAGCCCCTTAGCCTGCTGCCTCAGAGGACCTTGGAGGCAGAAAGATTATTGTAGTGATATTCCTGGCCCTCGAGCAGGCTGCGGTAGGTGGCGATCTCCTGCTGCAGCCGCGACTTGTTGTCCGTGAACTGCTGGTACTCCTGATTTTGCCGCTCACTATCAGCTCGCACATCGCCCAGCTGGACTTCAATACCGTTGATCAGCGACTGGATCTGCGCCAGCTGGGCTCCAACGCGCGCCTCCGTTTCTGCCAGTGTGCCTTCCAAGGTGGCTTTCATGCTCAGCTGTGACTGCAGCTCAAGACCCTGGAGGGTGTGCCGCAGGTCAGTCACCTTGGACAGGCTCATCTGGAGCTGATCCGTGTGGCCAGCGACCTCTCGGTTCAGTTCTTCAGTCCGGCTGGTGAACCAGGCTTCAGCATCCTTCCAGTTCTGCTCCGCCATGACCTTGTATTGGCTTCGCATGTCACTCAAGATCCTGGCGAGATCGGTGCCCCGAGCAGAATCCACCTCCACACTGACCTGGCCTCCCACTTGGCCCCTCAGCCCACTGATTTCCTCTTCATGGTTCTTCTTCAGGTAGGCCAGCTCTTCCTTCAGGCCTTCAATCTGCATCTCCAGGACGGTACTGGCCAGGGTCAGCTCGCCCAGCACCCTGCGCAGGCCGTTGATGTCGGCCTCCACGGTCATGCGCAGAACCTGCTCCGTGTCAGTCTTGGTTCGGAAGTTATCTGCAGCCAGACGGGCGTTGTCGATCTCCAGGACAATCCTGGAGTTCTCAATGGTGGCACCAAGAAGCTTGTCCTGCAGGTCCTGGATGGTCTTGTAGTAGTGGCTGTAGTCACGGGAGGGCCCGGGACCCTGCTTCTGGTACCAGTCGCGGATCTTCACCTCCAGCTCGCAGTTGGCAGCCTCCAGGGCGCGCACCTTGTCCAGGTAGGAGGCCAGGCGGTCGTTGAGGTTCTGCATAGTGAGCTTCTCGTTGCCCTCCAGCAGCCGGTCGGACGCGGCCGGGACGCCGCTGTAGCCCCCCAAGGAGGACGAGGACAGACACGAAGCGGGCGGAGGACACGGACGCGCCGCGGCCGCCGGCCCCAGTGCATGCTGGGCGCGCAAAAGGCGACCCCTGGCCCCAAACTCACGGAGCCGCCGCCCAGGCCCCCGAAGGACGACTTTGCGGACGACTGGCTGTAGCAGTAGGAAGTCGTGGCGAGGCGGAGCACGGACGGAGCGGCCCTGGTGCCAGAGGCTGAGATTCGCGGGAGGAGCCATAAAATTTTTTTTTAATAGCTACTTTACATAAATATCAGATTATATGTTTGTCAATGTCGTACAAGCACTTGATGAGGGAAATGACCGCTCAACAGATGACTATCTGAGGCTGAGGTTAAATGGCTTATTAAGATCACAGAACTGGACGGGCTCGGTGGCTCACGCCTGTAATCCAAGCACTTTGGGAGGCCGAGGCGGGCGGATCACGAGGTCAAGAGATCCAGAGCATCCTGTCCAACATGGTGAAACTCCATCTCTACTAAAAATACAAAAATTAGCTAGGAGTGGTGGCGCGCGCCTGTAGTCCCAGCTATCCCAGCTAATCGGGAGGCTGAGGCAGGAGAAGGGCTTGAACCCAAGAGGCAGAGGTTGCAGTGAGCCGACATCACTTGCCACTGCACTCCAGCCTGGCGACAAAGCGAGACTCTGTTTTGTTTTTGTTTTTTTTTTTTTTAAAGAAAGAAAAAAAAAAGCACAGACCTATAGTGAACAAGAAAGATGGTGGCACGCACATAACTGCATATTACCAAAAGATTTTTTTGTTTCTTTTCTTTTTCCTTTTTGCAAGACAGCCGGGATTAAAATCTAAGCTTTCTAAGTCTCCGGATCTGTGCCCTTTCCACCAGCTGACAGTGTCTGCTAATAACAATATGCACTCTCAAGGATCAAGATAAGCACTGCAATATATTCAGTCACAAAAAAATGAAACGTAAGAAACCTATATATGAAAAACATTTTCATGTCTCACTCTCCCTTTTACTCTGTCACTATGCCTTTTTAATTTTTAATTTCTTTTTATTTATTTTCTGTCTCTATTAAAGGCATACCCTTAAATTGTATTTGGAAAATAAATAAAAGGAAAAATCACATATTCTCATTATACTAAAATGACCCTGTTGATAAGCATGTTAGGTATAGTCAGACTTAAAATATACGTTGAAGCATGCATAAAATTCCCTTTATGTGCCTACAAGTCAAAAGTCATCGGACACACTCTCCAATTATAAGAAGTGCTCTAAATCTAGACGCTTCTCACACAGGCAACTCTGTGGTTTTCTCTGGGGTGAATAGCAGCATCAACCCCTTCTATCTGTATCCATAAGACAACAAATTTCCTACATTTTCCAATTTTTTCTTCATCTTCTACATCCTCATTTGGGTTACTGTAAAAATTAAAAGAAATTAAATAGGTAAAGTAACCAGTTATGTTTGCTATTAGCAACAGCCTTGACACATTCTCACTTTTTTCAAGAAACCTTCATTTGCAACCCTATGGGGAGTAACCTCTCCCTCTGCTGTTCTGCTGGTATTTTCTTTGTACCTCTAATAAAGCAGAAATGGGGTCTGTCTTGAGTTAGAATTATTTATGCACGTGTCTATTTTCTACCCTGGATTATATAGGCCCCTTCTGAGCGGGGATCATATTTTATTCATTGTGTTTTGCCCACATTGGGCAGGGGGCCTTGTACTGTGAGAGCACTTTGCCAAGTGTAAAGCACTATCAACTTGATGATGATTTGTGTCAAGCATATTCTGAATTGTATTGCATTCTTTGTCAGTGAGGGTCATTACTACTCCTCTCCTAGAGCAATGTTTATGAAGTTAGAAGTTAGGAAATTCTCCTTTCAATGAGAGAGCAATCCCAGATGTTAGAAATGTGGAGTCCAGATACATCTTCTCATTGTTCTCCCTGGAACAAATCCACTTTCCTGAAGATGGAATTGTCTTTTTGCCTTGGTCGCAATGTAAGTAAATAGAAGTCACCTTTTCTAATGAGACACTTCCTCTTTCATGATTTCTTAGACAAAGGCACGAACACACAAAACGTCCCATTATCTAAGTAACTGAGGCAGTGAAGAGAAAGGAAGTATTGAAGAAAATGCATAGTTTATGACTTCTTTTTCAGTGGTTTGGAAACACTAAGCTATGGAGAAGGGCAAACCATGGAAGGCTATTCCTGTAAATGCCCTCAGCATTCACTTAGTTCAAGTCTTTTGTTCACACCTAAGGAAAATGAAATAGAGAAAAGTGAAGAAACATGCTCAGAACTTATGTGGTGAGAGGAAGAATCTCTGTTCTGAAATGAAATTTAGGTCAACCTATATGAAAAGTGAGGGGTCAATTTGAAATGATTTCAGAGTCTTCTAATTTTAGGCATCATACCTTTCTAATACCAAGGGTTATCTTGCCTTTGCTGCCACAAATCTGACAGAAGGAGAAGCCAGGACAGACAGGGAAACGAAACAGTATCTTTAAATGAAGCTTCAGGAAGTGCTGCTCTGAGGCCTCCCCAGAAGACCTAAAGCTGAAAAGATTCCTGTGGAGAAGGTCACACTGAAACTCAGGTTTCGAGAACATTATGTGTTCCTTTAGGCTGCAGGATCATTGTTGTCCCAGGGTACCTACAGCTAGTAGGACCAACTGCAAGATGCAAGCAACCTTGATTGCACCTGACATGGGACCGGATCTGTCAGTGATATGAAAATACTGACTTTATCTCCTTCCTCTTTCCACACACTTGTTATTTGCTTTCCATATCAGCTGTGCAGAAATTGGCTCTCTTTAATCACATTCCCGTCTCCATTTCATTACCTCCCCATCCCTATCTTCTGCACATCATCACTTGTGCCTCCCTGTTTCTGGTTCCATTGTCGGCCTCACCATCCTTCCCTACATGAATCTAGACACATCCAGATTGATTTCAACATGACCTCTTCATGATACAAAAGGCACAAAGGCAAAAAAAACCCAAAAGAAAAACAACAAAAAAAACTTCTGATCCTCCCATCCGTAAGTCACAAATGGCAGAAAATCAAAATTTTGTGTCAAAATTAATAAAACGCAAATATGCATGGTATCTTATCAGAAAAAGTGAAAAAGTAGAGGGCTGTGGTTAAGAGGGAAGACTCTGAAGCTAGATTCTCTGGTTCAAACCTTGGCTCTGCCACTCTATCACTTAAGTTCTGTGTGTCTCACTTTATCCATCTTTAAAATGAGAATGATGATGGTATCGACTTCAGTAGTTACGGTAGTGGTTTGACTGTATAATAATAAGAACAAAGATAATAGCCACTTAAATGAAATAGAAGTTTGCTTCTCTTCAGTATAGGAGTCCAGAGCTGCTAAGGTGGCACCATGATTCTGTGGAGCTTGACTCCTTGTGTCTTTTTATTCTGCCCTCTCAAAAGGTGGCTTCTGTCTCATGGACCATGATGGCTACTCCAGCTGCCACCAGGATATCTGCATTCCAGCTAGCAGAAGAGGATAAGAAAAGAGGGAACATATCCTCATCTCCTTTAGGAGTATGATCCAGAAGTTCCCACATCACTCCTACTCACAGTCCCATTGACCAGAACCTAGTCAATGGCCACATCTAATTTCAAGGGATGCCACATGCCTTGATAAAACTTTATCACTATAGCAAGAGGGGAGAACAGAAATTGGGGGGAAAACTAGTAATCTCTGTCACCCCAATGATTTAAAGCTGTGCGGATTAAAATAATTACATACAAAAACATTTAAAACAGTGCCTAAAACATAGTAAACCTGTGATGATTGTTAGTTGTTAAAACAATAACAATACTAGTGAATTACTATTCACTAGTGTTTTCTTACTACTTTTGTACTGTATGTTCATGGATAGTGAGGATCATGCAAAGTATTTAGACCCCTTAACTTAAAAATAACTATGCATTAATATGAAATGTATGTTAATTTTTTAAAACAAAAATAAATGAAAATAAAAAGAAAAAATAACTGTTCATCTAACCTTTCAATTATAAAATTTTGCATAATTGTTACGGAACCAGTTTTGAGCAGTAGAATTTTTCTGTGTTATTTTCAGAAAATCTATATGTGTACATCAAGATATTAACTAGGGAAATTAGAAACTGTGGAATTCAAAAAAATCAACGTTTGTACGGGCCTATGATCACTTATGGTTCAAGGCAACTGAGTTTCTTAACAGAAAGAGTTGACAATTACACAGCTATTTCTTTACAAAAGATCAAAAGATTTAATTTGTTGGCCTAGCACTTCTTTAATCCAGAAACACACCCAACAGGGTTCACTAATGCCTATGAGTATTTCTGACAGAATAAGGAAAGCCTTCCAATCTAAATGGAAAACAAAACTAAAAAAAAAAATGAAAGTAATCTTTTTAAACCAGCAAGTGGCACAACTTTGGCCTGATTCGTTGTGTATAAATTAGACTCCCTTCTCATACAAGAATCTTAGTTTCTTAAGGTTATCTCTAGCTCCTTAGGACAGTACAGAAGTTGATTTTCCTACCTTATGGATTAATTTATATTTTTATACTGTTTGTTACCATGAAACTTCATTAGGGTCTTAGAGACCTAGGTAGAACAGAGTACTGGTTTTGGAGCCAGACTATCTGGTTTAAATCCTAACTTTAGTTACTGGCCGTGTGACCTTGGGCAAGTTACTTAACCTCTGTGTACATTAGATTTGTCATCTGAAAATAGAAACAATAATAGTATGTACCCCACAGAGTAATTATGATGACTAATTAAAATAATATGCACAAAGTTTTTGGAGCAGATGCATTCAGGAAGTGTTGGCTATTTAATTATTAATATTAGCCAAGTCTTCTGAAAGTTTTACAGCATTGCAAATGTTAATCGTTTACTTTCAAAAGGCTTTACCAACCACACAATTCTTTTATATCCACTGTCTCATTTCGTCTTCGCTACTTTTCTCAATTGGGGTCGGTATCTCCATCTCAAACAAGCATAAGAAAACGGAGCCTCATAGACAGGAAATAACTTGTCTAAAGTCACCAGCCCTTCAAACCACAGAGCTGGGGTTCAAGTCTATGATTGGGTGCTCTTACAAATAAGCTTCCCTCTGCTTTAATCAAAGGAACACCAGTGGCGATGATACGGGAATCTTGGGTAATACGGTCCAGGCAGCTCCTTCTGTGGAAATAATCCTGAGCTATGCCATGTGACTATGCCTGTCTGGACACTCCTGATT